GCAGTCCAGTGCTATCCTACAGTGCCACAGCAGGATTGAACATTTCAGATAGTAGTCCAGAACACAACCATTTGTGCCACCCAGAGACTCCATCCATACAGACCATGGCCCTCTCTACGCAATGTGAGTTAGCTGTGTGACGCACTGAGCTAGCACGTGGTCAGCAGTGTGCTGGTAGGCAGCACATTAGCCTAAAAACTCTGTGGGATATTGAATCACTTTTATTCTGGACAGTGCTGTCTGGCCACAGTATGTAGGACCTGACCTCATTGTCTATCCCCAACCCGTCCTCCGACCCTCATTTAAATGAGACAGATGTTGGAGCAAAATCATTTCTGCCTGAAGAACAAGGAACGGACATCAGTCAAGTCATCTTTCTCGGGCTATTATTCTTAAATTATTTTCACAAAACAGTCTTGTTATTGTTGTTAGGGACCTTCTAGTCATTACTGACTCGTAGTAACCCTGTGCACAGCAGAATGAATCGCTGCCCTCACAATCATTGCTGCCCCTGAGCCCATCTGTGCTGCCCCTGTGCCAATCCATCTCACTGGGGGTCTTCCTCTTTTTCTCCCACCATCCACTTTACTAAACATGTCAGCTATCCTTCTCCAGGAACAGGTCCCACCTGATAATATGTCCAAAGTATCAGAGAAGTCTGGTCATCCTGGCTTCCAGGACACGGTCTAGCTGTGCTTTTTCCAACACAGATCTGATTGTTCTTTTGGCCGTCCGTGGTACTTTTAATATTCTTCTCCAACGCCATAATAAAAATGCATCAATTCTTCCACGGTCTTCCTTATTCACTGTCCAACTTTCGCATGCATGTGAAGTTACTGAATACACCATGGCTTGGATCAAGTGCACCTTAGTCCTCAAACTGACATCTTTGCTCTTGAACACTTTAAAGAGGTCTTGTGCAGCAGATTTGCCTAATGCACTACATCGTTTGATTTCTTAACTGCTGCTTCCGTGAGTGTTAATGGTCTGAGCAAAATGAAGTCTTTGAAGAGCGGAATGCAGGCTCATTTTACTCCACGTGGTTCTGGGGACATCTAGTGGTTGACAACTTCAATCTTTTCTCCATTTATGTGGATGTTATGTATTGGTCCAGCGGTGAGGATATTTGTTTTCTTTACAGTGAGGTGTAACCCTTACCAAAGGCTGTGCTCTTTGATCTAGTCATGCTATTCCCTCCTAAAATCACTGTTGTTACCCCCTTTATGGGTTCAGACGGGAACCAAGCAGTGATGGTACACAAATGGCACATTCAAACCTTTGGAGAAAGTTCTTATGCAGAAGACTTCTATTAAGAAACATCCAACAGACTACATGGGGGCTTCACAAAGTTCACGGGGGAAATTCCATTGTCTTTTCATTCCATTTTTCCACATATTTTGCTAATCCCCTCATAATTCCAGCGGTCAGTTCTATCAACTGAGAGAGAAAGAGAGTTGGAGACCCAGGAAACAGGATTGGAAATTGGGAGGAACGGAATGTAGGTTCACTTTATTCCGCGTGGCTCTGGGGACATCTAGTGATTGACAATGACTAAGTCATGCTCATATAGGTCCTCAGGGGTACCAAAGGCTTTGATGGGAGGGGAAGGCTAGGGGCACTCAGGGAATGCCCCCCTTCAATAAAGAAAGGATTCAAACAACATGCCAAGATTCAAACACATACACACACACACACACACACATGCGTGCACACCACTTTCTACTTTCCTTGAGCAAATTATGCTAATCTGAGTTTTGGGGGTGATAAATGAACATACAAAAAATCTGTTGTTGTGGAGTGCTGTCAGTTCGGTTCTGACTCATAATGACCAGAAGTCCAACAGAACCACAGATCATGCACCATCCTCACAATTGTTATATTTGAACCGGTTAGCATGGCCACAAAAAAAAGGTCTTCCTCTTCTTCACTAACCCTCCACTTTACCAAGCATGATGTCCTTCTCCAGGGACTGGTCCATCCTGACAGCATGTCTAAAGTATGAGAGATCAAGTCTAGCCATCTCGGCTTCTAAAAAGCATTCTGGCTGTACTTCTTCAAGACAAATTTGTTTGTTCTGACAGTCCATGGTACTTTTAATATTCTCATCCAATACCACAGTTCAAATGCATCCATTTTTCTATGGTCTTCCTTATTCATTTTCCCACTTTCACACACACATGATGGTGGTGATGGTGTGCCACGAAGTCGGTTCTGACTCATAGTGGCCCTGTATAGGGTTTCCAAGGCGGTAAACCTTTATGGGAGCAGAAAGCCTCATCTTTCTCTGGTGGAGCGGCTGGTGGAGTTGAACTGCTGACCTTTTAGGTAACAGCCCAACTTGTAACCCACTGTGCTACCAGGGTTCCTTCACACGCATGTGAGGTGATTGAAAATACCATGACTTGAGTCAGGTGCACCTTGGCCCTTAAAGTGACATCTTTGCTCTTCAACACTTTAAAGAGGTCTTGTGCAGTAGATTTACCTAATGCACTGAGTGGTGCAAACACTCTCCTGCTCGAGGTTCAAGCCCACCCAGGGGCATCTCAGAAGAAGGGTCTGGTGATAAAGTCCAGCAGATGTTTTTGAGATCTGAGTCTGCTGGGCACTGTGTTAACCACACGCACACTGTGTACAGCGCAACAGTTCATTCCTCACCACGCCCCCTAGAGGCAGGAGCTGGGGAGAAGCCGTTTCAAAGGAGTGGCACTGTAAGGTAAGCACTGGACTGCTAACCACAAGATTGGAGGTCCAAATCCACCAGCCACTTCTCAGAATCCCTATCTGGGGTCTCTAAGTCAAAGCCGACTCAAGGCACTTAACATTAACAACCACAGAGGAGCCCTTGGGACCCAGTGGGTTAAGTGTTGGCTGTGGTTAGCAGTTCAAGTCCACCAGCTGCTCTGTGGTAGGATGAGGCTGTCTGCTCCCATAAAAGATATATGGTCTCAGAAACTAAGAAGCAGTTCTAGTCTATCCTAGAGGGTCCCTGTGAGTTGGAACCCACTTGATGGCAGTGAGTGGGTTTGGGTCAGATGCTCAAGGTCACCAGTTGCATATTTAAACATGAAGACAGTTTGCTCTTTCCTGTTGTCATAGAAAAGGGTTTGTCTCATCTGCCACTTTGTGCTGATGCTAACTGCGTCTTTGGAGATACAATTTTTGTTAACTACCTGCTGTGACACTGTAGGATCAGCACTGGACTTGGAACCACAAGGTCGGAAGTTCAAACCCACCACCTATTCCTTAGAAACCCTATACAAGGTCGCTATGAGTCGAAACCAACTGGACCGCACTTAATAACAATAACACCTGCTTGCGAGATGTAGGTATCTGAAGCAAATAAGTAGGTACCACTGCTTGCCTCCATGGTGAGACACACTTCTTGTTTTCCTGCCACAGTTCCTACAGTCTCCTTCCAACCATGGATAGCGGGTGTACACCCCCACCCCCATCCCCACTCCCCCACCCCAGCGCCACAGCAGGTGTTTCTCCCCCTAGGGGCCAGGTTTTCCACCAGGATCAAGTCTGCCCACAGGAGACACAGAAAAGTATCTGAAGATGTTTTTGATGATCACAACAAGAAGTCAGGGGCAGGAGCAGGGGTGGTACTCAACACCCTCCAGGACACGAGATGTCCCCCCGCCCAGAGAAAGATCCAGCCCCAGATGTCATTGGTTTCAAGGGGGAGAGACCCTGCCCCAGGAGAATTACACAGCTCCCCAAATTACAAGCATTCAAGAATTTTCCGTTTGCTGGATAGTCAAGTAAACCATTGAATGCCCTTCATCCTGGATTAGCCTGGTCATTCTGTTGAGACAGGTCTGCGTTTGTGCTGTGGTGGGTGGTTATTGCCAAAGCCTTTGTTGTTTTCCATTTTGAAACCTGCTCTCTGCCCCCTCTACCCTCTCTTTTCGACCCCTCTGACCCAGTATCACTAAGATTTTAGAGGGAGCGCCTGAATCTGAAGGTTCTTATTCTACACATTTTGTACAATATCGTCTTTCTCATGCGAGATGCAGTTTTATAGCAAACACCAAGCATTCTAGCTTAGTCTCTGACCCATATGTATTTCTGGATTACAGGGCAATTGTAATCCAGAAGCTTGGAGGATGCTGGCCACTTGTGCTTGCCTTGGTGGTACAAATGGTTAAGCACTCAGCAGCTAGTTGAAAGGTTGAAGGTTCAAATCCACCCACTGGCACCTCAGAAAAAAGGCCTGGTGATCTGCTGGGAAAAACCCACTACATAAAAGCCAAGGGAGCACAGTTCTACTCTGACATGTATGAGAGCATCGGGAGTCAGAAGCAACTCTTACGGCAACGGTTTAGCACTTGTCAATTTCTGTACTGGAGTCCTGGTGTGGCGCTGTAGGATAAGCACTGGACTGCTAACCCACAAAGCAGGTGGTTCAACCCCACCAGCTACTCCTTGAAAACCCTATACAGGATCGCTGTGAGTCAGAACTGACTAATAACAACCTTTGTACTAGGAGCCCTGGTGGCACAGTAGGTTAAGCGCTGGCCTGCTAACCCACGCTGGAGAAAGATGAGGAGGCAGTCTGCCCTCCTAAAGAACGATAGCCTCAAAAACAGCTGGTAGTTTTGAACTATTGACCCTGAGGATAGCAGCCCAATTAGTAACCACTACACGCGTAGTGATTACGAATCGGGCTGCGAACCTTAAGGTCAGCGGTTCGAAACTACCAGCCGCTCCGCGGGAGAAAGATGAGGCTTTCTACTCCCGTAAGGATTTACACCCTCGGAAACCCTGTACAGGGCCGCTATGGGTCGGAACCGACTCGACGGCACTTAACAACAACAACAACAACAACAACACTACCAGAGCTCCTTAGGGTCGCTGTATATGGGAACCGACCGGACGTCAGTGGGTGTGGGTGTGTTCGCTTGTGTCATGGTCTGTGTTTGAAGCTTCCTCTTTGGCCTTCGTGATTGCAAAGCCTGCCCCACTCAACCTCTGTCCGCCTCTCCCCAGAGCTGAGTATGCAGAATCCTGAGGGCGGAGCCGAATCGCCGACGTCTGTGGCTTTGCGTCCGACTGCAGCGACCCCAGCACCAGGGCCCCAGCCTGTGCCCACCTCACCGCAGGTAACACCCTACCACCTAGGTGCCAGCTTGCTCCTTCCCCTAGAGAGTAGACGCCACTCGAGACGGCTGCTATCGACATAGGCAGGCCCTTACCATTCTACTTCCCTGTGATTTGTTCAATCAGCACCCCACCCCCCCCAGGAAAAGGTGATATGGAATGGAGAAGAATCGCTCGCCTGAGTGCAACTTAGCATGTGTTTATCTCATATGTGTATGCGTGTGGTAAGGTATATCTAACCAAGGCGCTGTGGGACCAGCACTGGCCTTCTAACCTAAAACCCAGCAGCTACTCCTTGGAAACCCTATACAGGGGCACTATGAGTCGGAACTGACTCGACAGCACTTAACAACAGCCGCCCAATATCTGCCACTTGAGGTTTGGGGTTTTGTTTCGTTTGTTTTTATTGTGAATTGAGTGATAGTTTACACGGAAGAGCATCAGTTTTACATTCATCCTATCGTATTTAGCTTCATTGCAATGATTACAATCCCCTCCGTGCGTCATCATTCAACAATATTTGCTTCTAGTCCCTGTGTTTTGGGGGAGATTTTTTGGGATGTACACAAAAACACTCAGGCATATATAATCATTTCAACAACTAAAGGGCACATTCTGCAAGCCTGCCTCCTGGCTGCCTTGAGTGTCTTTACATGCCCAGCTCAGTGACAATTACATTGATCGTGTCCAACCATCGCCACTTCCATTTCCAGATTGTTCCAACTGTCCTTATCTTTGTGTAGCAGTTTTCTTGCACCTTGGAAATTGCCCTGTAATCCAGAAATGCATTATGGGTCAGAGACTAAGCTAGAATGCTTGGTGTTTGGTGCAAAATTATATCTCACATGAGAAAGAATATTTTCTAGAAAAATATTATATGTATAGTAAGAATTCTTCAGATTCAGGCTTTCCAACTGCATGCTTCTGGATGGCTCCAGTGAATTGCAATCAGCATCAAGTAGACAGACAGAAGCTCAGACAAGATGTCCTATGACTGCCCGAGATCAGAGACCAAGTCCCAAGGGAAGACTCCTGAGAATCACCTTGGCCACGTGACCACCCTCAGCTTGCCAACAGCGATCTGAGAATTAGGAGTTCAGGAACAAGAAATGATGACAGAGAGACCATTAAGCTCTCTGGGTGGCACTTTAATAAAGGGTCCCTGATGACGCAGTGGTTGAGCGCTAAGCTGCTAGCCAAAAGGTCAGCAGTTCTAACCCATTTAATGGTTCTGCAGGAAAAGAGACTCAGCCATCTGCTGTTGTAAACATCGTGGTTGTGGTTAGGTACAACCCCATGTTCCGCAGTTGAAACACTGCCCAGTCCTGCGCCTTCCTCACAGTCGTTGCTATCTTTGAGCCCAGTGCTGCGGCCACTATGTCAATCCATTTGAGGTGCTGGAGAAGAATTTTAAAGTACGATGGAGTGTCAGAAGAATGAACAAATCTGTCTTGAAAGGAGTCCAACCAGAACGCTCCTTAGAAGCCAGGATGGCAAGACTTGGTCTCTTGTTCTTTGGACATATTATCAGGCGGGACCAGCCCCTGGAGAAGAACATCGTGCTTGGTAATAAAGTGGAGGGTCAGCAAGAAAGAGGAAGACCCCAACAGAATGCACTGACACAGTGGCCACGGCAATGCATTCAAACATCGCCACGAATTTGAGGATGGCACAGTGTTTGTTCTTTTGTACGTGGCGTTGCTGTGAGTTGGAACCAGCTCAACAGCACCTAACAACCACAATTTTCACTAGCCACATGCCTATACATTTAGTGGCTATCACATTGGACACCAACACATATATTTCACACAGATCCTTTGTAAAATATTGTCAAAACCCACTGCTACCTGATGGATTCCAACTTCCAGGGACCTGTAAATTGGTATGGAGCACACAGGTTTGTCTTTCTCCTGCAAGTGCCTGGTGGGTTTGATCTGTCAATGTTGAGGTTAGCAGCCAAGGTTTGGCCCAGAGCCACCAGAACTCCTTATAAAGCCTGCAAACTTCATTGACATCAAGTCAAGTCTAACTCATAGTGACCTTGTATAAGGAGCGTTTCCAAGGCTGTCGGTTTTTCTGGGCGCAGAAAGCCTCATCTTTCTCCTGTGGCTGGTGGGTTTGAACTGCTAACCTTGTGGTTAGCAGTCCAGTGCTTTTCCTACAATGCCACCACCAGTGCTTTTATGAAGCACCATTGTTGTTGTTGTTGTTGTTAAGTGCTGTTGAGTTGGTTCCCACTCATTTTTGTTGTTGTGAGGTACCATCAAGTCAGTACTGACCCTGTGCACAACAGAACAAAACACTGCCCGGTCCTGGGGCAACATCACAATTGTTGCTACATCTGAGCCCACTGATGCTGCCACTGTGCCAATCCATCTCATTAGGGGTCTTCCTCTTTTTCTCCGACCTTCCACTTTACCAAACAGGACATCCTTCTCCCGGAACTGGTCTCTCCTGGTAATATATCCGAAGTATGAGAGACAACATCTGGCCATCCTGGCTTCCAAGGAGCACTCTGGCTGTACTTCATCCTACACAAATCTATTTGCTCTTTTGGTAGTCCATGGTAATTTCAATATTCTCCTCCAACACCATAATTCTTCTAATGCATCAATTCTTCTACGGCCTTCCTTCTTTATTGTTCAACTTTCACATGCATATGAGGTTACTGAAAATACCATGGCTTGGGGCACATGTACCTTAGTCCTCAAACTGACATCTTTACTCTTGAACAGTTTAGGGCAAAGTGTTGAAGAGTAAAGTTCATAGCAAGGTTTCTGAGGAGTGACTAGTGAGGGTGAACCATCAAGCATGTGGTTAGCAGTCCAGTGCTTGTCCTACCCCCCAGTACTGTTGTTGTTAAGGGTCGTCAAGTCAATTCCGACTCATAGCGAACCTTTATGGGGTTTCCAAGGAGCAGCTGTGGGTTTGAACCACCAAGCTTGTCATTCCCAGTTCAGCGCATTAACCGAAGTGCCACACCAGGACGCCCGATGTTCTTGTTGTTGAGTGCCATGGAGTCGGGATCTGACTCATAATGACCCTGTACAGGGTTTCCAAGGAGCAGCTGGTGAGTTACAACTGTCGGCCTTAAGGGCCCAAACCAACATTGCAGTTTACCGCATTACCCGGCAGCGCCAGACCAGGAGTCCAGGACTCCCGTAGACAGATGTAAATCCCTCATGTCCCCATTTATCTATGTATTTATTGATCTACTCTTTAATTAAGGTACAATTCATAGAACATAAAGCTCACCCTTTTAAAGGGCACAGCTGTGTTCGTACATTCAGCTAGTGGTGTACCATCCAATGTTCCAGAACATTTTTATCACCCCTAAAGGGAATCCCCATCTCCATTAAGTAATGGCTCCCCTGCCCTCTCTGCATGTTAGTGGGATCACATGTTGTCCTTCTGAGTCTGACTTCTCTTACTCAGTGTCCTGTTTCCAAGGCTCCTCCACACCGTAGCATGTGTCAGGACTCCATTCCTTTATATGGCTGCGTGACACCCACAGCGTGCCTGGACCACATTGTGTTGGGTCATTCCGCTTATTTATTTTGGTGCCCATGTGTTTTCTTTGTCATTCGTTGTGACTCACAAGGGGCTGTGTCCCTGTGGAATTCTCTAAGTGCCTAGTGTCCAACTCAGCTGGTGTGGAGAGAAATACTCGTTTGCTGGTACCGCTATGACAGCCTTTGTGTTTTCATTATATCCCTTAGACGCTAGAGGGCAGTGTGAGAGTGTGGTGGGAATGAGAGCTTGTTTAGAAAGTGAAGCAATGAAGAAATCCCATTAAATGTTGTTAGGTGCCGACTCCAAGTCATACTGATCCCATGTGACAGAGTAGAACTGCCCCCCAGAAGTCTGTCACCTGGATGGAGGCAAATCACCAGGGCTTTTATCCCGCAGAGTTCTGTGTACGTATGTAGGAGTCTGTGTGTATGTATGTGGAGTCTGTGTGTGCGTATGTGGAGTCTGTGGGCGTATGTGAGCGTATGTGTGCGTATGTGGGAATCTGTGTGTGCATATGTGGAGTCTGTGTGTATGTATGTGGAGTCTGTGTGTGCATATGTGGCATCTGTGTGCGCATGTGGGAGTCTGTGTGTATGTATGTGGAGTCTGTGTGTGCGTATGTGGAGTCTGTGGGCATATGTGGGAGTCTGTGTGCGTATGTGGGAATCTGTGTGTGCATATGTGGAGTCTGTGTGTATGTATGTGGAGTCTGTGTGTGCGTATGTGGCATCTGTGTGCGTATGTGGGAGTCTGTGCATATGTGGAGTCTGTGTGTACATGTGGAGTCTGTGGGTATGTGGAGTCTATGTGTGTGTATGTGGAGTCTGTGTGTGTGTGTCTGTGTATACATATGTGGAGTCTGTGTGTGCATATGTGGAGTCTGTGTGTATGTATGTGGAAGTCTGTGTACGTATGTGGAGTCTGTGTGTGTATGTGGAGTCTATGTACGTGTGTGGAGTCTGTGTGTGGGTATGTGGAGTCTGTGTGTGCATATTTGGGAGTCTATACATATGTGGGAGTCTTGTGTGCATATGTGGGAGTCTGTGTGTGTATGTGAGAGTCTTGTGTACGTATGTGGGAGTCTGTGTGTGCGTATGTGGGAGTCTGTGTGTATGTATGTGGGAGTCTGTGTACATGTGTGGGAGTCTGTGTGTGCATATGTGGGAGTCTTTGCATATGTGGGAGTCTGTGTATGTATGTGGAGACTGTGTGTACATATGTGGGAGTCTTGTGTATGTATGTGGGAGTCTTGTGTATGTATGTGGGAGTCTGTGTATACGTATGTGGGAGTCTGTGTGTATGTATGTGGAGTCTGTGTGTGCATATGTGGAGTCTGTGTGCATGTGTGGGGTTCTTGTGTACGTATGTGGGAGTCTGTGTGTGCATATGTGGAATTCTGTGTGTATGTATGTGGGAGTCCTGTGTGCATATGTGGGAGTCTTGTGTACATGTGTGGGAGTCTGTGTGTGCATATGTGGATGTGTGTATGTGTGTATGTATGTATGCATGTATGTGGGAGTCTGTGTGTGCATATGTGGGAGTCTGTGTGTGCATGTGTGTATGTATGTATGTATATGTATGTATGTGGGAGTCTGTGTGTG